CAAAAAACATAAAATGGTTTATTCAAAAAAAATAATAAAAGAGAGCTTTAGTAAAGAATCAACTGTGAAATTTAAAATGCCTGTTTCTCCTTTACACTGTCTTATTTAAATGATTCATAATTTCATTCCAGAATTAAGTGAACATTAAAATTCCAGTTGCTTTACTTAAATATAAATTTAATTAAGCAGCCTACTGATGTTAAAATTCACTATTTGTTTCATATCTTCAGCTTCTGGGAACATCTTTTTTCCTTCAAGTAAATGAACATGTATCAACATATTATGCATATATTTGTGTGAAATTATTACATAGATGGCATCATTCCAGTCCTCTTTGACCATGAACCTTAAGTTATCATGAAAAAGACAGTAGGATGGTCTTTGAAAAACATTTTTAGATATCTCTCATATGACCTCCCTTTGTCCTGATTTACTCCTTCAATGGCGATGAAAAGCAAATTAAAGTACTTGGTACCAACAGAGATACCTTTTGTTTACATCCAACACCACACACTTCTGCATCTCAACTCAGCAAGCTTTACCTGTCTTTGAAATCCTGCATCCTGCCAAAGAGGCAGGAACCTCAGAAATAAGAATCCCAAAGAGCCATGGACATTATAACCAACCCTACAACTCCGAAGTTGTGGTGGAAAAAGAGTCTTTGTTTTACATCTGGTAGCATTTGATCCTCATAGAAATATCCCCAATTGTACTGCTTTCCTGTGATAGTAACAGCATCTCTCATCAATCTCTTGGCATTCCTTGGATATTTCAAACTTAATTCATTCTCCCCAGTAATTTTGTCCTAGTTTTTTATGTAGAGGTGCTTCTTTTCTGCACCCCCTTTCCCAAAAGTTCACCTAAAATTCTTGTATTGAGAAACTAAGACCATATTATCTCACTCCCATAAACAAGTACTCTACATCAAATAAGCAAGGTCATCACAATGCTTTTAGAAGGTAGAATGCAAGAATGCGTTTCACAAAGCAATGAACACAAATGCTTTCCCAAATATATGATAAAACAAATGCCATGAAAAGTCAGTTGACTTGCACATAAAAATGACAGTATTTACTGCATGTATTACTTTTAAGAAAAAGTCAAGTCCCATTCAATTGTTTCATGAGCATGTTGCTTTAAACTGACAAAGAAGAGAGTGTTCTAGTTCTGCCCCCTTCATTCTTGCTTTCCACAAAAGAAAACAACATTTGAAAGAAGAGAGCCTCTTGTATTCATGGAGGCTCTTTGTGTAAGAAGGAATGTGAACAATCAAGATTCTCACTCATCTCCATGATTAGAAGAAATACTCTTTTTTAGATATATAAGTTTCATGTGAGTAAAGGAAATAACAGAGAGGGTGGGGTGACTATGCTCTCTCTCCTCTTTGCATGTTTGAACAATACATTGAAATAACAGGTTACTTTTCATATTAAAATATATCAACCTAACATGTGAAAAGGGCATCAGATAAATGCTGAATTGCAACAGACAACAGCAGAATGACTAGCTCTACTGTAGTTTGGAAAATGGATCAAAATAAGGTTTCTCTCCCAACTATTCAGTATCCAACTGTATACAGAAAAGGAAACTACATAAACTAAAGTTTATAAATGCTCTATTTTTCTCTTGAGGATTACTACAAGTTTCAATTAATGTACCTAGAGAGTTAAGAGCATTGGGATACTCCAAATTAGAAATTACTTTATGGATAATTAATACACAAGCTCGGTTTTTTTGGTACAGAGGAACACCACCAGCAAATGAATACATGTGGGACTACTGACTGTATGCCCCATAGAGACATATATTAGAGAGAACTCTAATGCAATGAATAAGTGATAATTGGAGCATCACAGATTACTCAGAACCACAATGGCTATACTATAGATCCGAGCTCTTGCCTCAACATTCTGCCATTGTGTTCTTCCTAGAACCACAACCCTGCTGTAAATAAGCAGATGCAACACCAAGTTTCAGAACTGGAAGGATGGCAAAACGCAAGCATCAGCGTTCCCCCAACCAAAAGCTTTGTCACTGGGGCAACTGTAAAATATTCCTAAAATGGGATTGCTTGCTAGGTCACATTTTCTTGCCTACGAACTGCTGAAGAAGAGGAGGAGGAGGATGAAGAAGTTGCTATTTTGACTCATAGCTAACAGAGGGGAGAAGAAATTTCTTACAGCAACAGAAAAGGAATTTCCATAGAAGATTTTTGAAGCGTCTTAAAAGAGATATCTGCAATACTCAAGATACTGTATAAAGGTAACCCTGGAATTATGCCAACCTCCCTATGTGAAGTGACCTACATTCAATCTAAACTGGAAGTGGGTAGTGCCAACTGGATCTATTCATTAATTTCTAACAATTGAAAGATTATTAACCATGACTTCCTGTGAAGCTCTTAAATGGTTGGAAATCTGTCCGCAGTCCTAACCAGCTATGAGGCTAAGCAAGGCCATTAAAACTTCTTGTCAGCAAGTGAGATGAAGGCAATAAATTGCAAAATTGCCAACCATGATTTTTTTGCCACCAAAAAGCAAATTTCAATCAAATATTTAATCTAGTTCCCAGAGGCAAATTGTTGAAACAAATCTAGAGGTAACTGACAAAAATCTCTCCCTGGCAATGGTACTTAAACTTTTATTCCAAATATCACCTCTCTACAAATCATCAACAAAACAGTATTTCTTATTTTAAACCATTATAAAATACTTTCCACAGTGAATATTCAAGCTAAATTTCAAAAGGCAAGAACCAAACACACGGCTCAATAATCAGCATTTTGGCCCATAACAGGTATACTAACAGTGATCAAAACTTATTTTTAATCTTGAAATAAAATTCCAAGATTGATTGAGGTTGAATAGACAATATGTGAATACCAAATATTCTCAAAAGAAATACAACAGCCCCCACTTACTTTTCTTTCTTTCTCTGTCACAGTCTCATTATTTTATTGGATCCACAGCAAAACAACCATCAGACACATGTAGGCTTTGTTTAAATTTAAAAAGCTAAATGCACTCTTAATCCCAACTACAGACATCCCAAATATGGTAGATAAACATTTGGTTCTACATATTCAGTAAGCACAGTGCAGTTGAAATATACAACTGGTTTAGCCCATGTTATGTAATAACACTTAGGAATGACAGCCTCTTTGATGGATAACAACCTTAACAAAGATTGTGCTTATCTTCATAAGCAACCAGCCATCACCAGTTCCAGAAGCTAGGTTATAATACTGTATACTACCATTCATGTTGGTACACTGTTATGCACACAATCATACTTGCAGCACACATCAGTCCCCACGAAAGGGTATGGATATGGTCTCTAATATGGATTTACCTCCTGACAATAGCTTGCAGTCAACATTCAACTCCTCGTTTTCTTTTAAGTAGAGAAGAGCACACATAATCCTGAAAATCACAGGTTCTTTTAACACGGACACCTATTTTCACCAATTAAAAATGCTATGCATGTGTTTGTCTCATCCATGCTGAACAAGTTGCTATCTCTCAAAACATTACTTGATATTTTGTCGTTTTAAGGCCACGAAGATTACAAACACAGCAACAAAATGTTTACAGCCAAAGGAAAGGCATGTCACTTCTGGATATGATGATCCATGCTTGTTGAAATGAACAGATCTTCTGCATCATTTGTTACAAACTGAAGGCAAACGTTTGCTTGCACTTCTCTTGGAAAGATTTGTGACAGATATCAAAATGATGGTTTTGCTTATTGTGAAATATTCACAAGTAATGTCACCACAAAAAGAAAAACAAATGCTGATTACAAACAAAAGGGACAAAGAATTGATTACATAGATTGAAGACATATACAAAGAAATCATCTTCCATGTTACGTGTTTACATCTTAAGTCTTGAATTTTATCAAGATGATGTCTAGGTGTTCTCGTTTCTTATTTTTCTTCGTAAAGAATGTGAAATTGTTTTTTAAAAGCTAAATAGATACATATAAAACATATTAACATAGATCTGTGAGTATGTGCCCCATGTATGGGATTAGATCCAGGCTCTATCATGCTTAGAGAATGGTTTAATCAATGGGACAAACTAGGTGCGACTAACATAAACCCTTTTGAGTCAAGGGCTCATTTTTGCAAAGCAGCAAAAAGAAAAGACAAGAATTGTATATTGAACTTGGATCTGAGTTCAAATCCCAGATTATTTGCAAAAAAAGGTCTGTATTTATTAGGTGAAATAAAATAAATATTCTAAATGTAAAGATCATATATGAAATAAGCTTAAGTCCTCCATATACAAAATGCTAAAGAAGTAGAAATTGTAGTCATTACCTACTACTATAATAGAAACAACAGCCCCAATAATTTTTTGAAGTTAAGAAGAGAGAGATTGGCTAGTGCAAAGCGCTAAAACAAAAGAAAAAAAATCTGTATTTGTACTACATTACAAGCACTGTCTGTACACTTAAATGCACTCCTGTACTTCAAGATATTCTTCTGCTTCTAATTGGACAGAAGACCATTAACAAATACATTTTACTTGGAAACGATTATTTTGATCTGATGTCCAATAAACACCATCATAACTGAAGTGTATTATGCATAACTGAAGGCTTATGAAAAGAATTATACAAACAGAAAATATTTATTATTATTTATTATTTATTATTTGCATTTATTGACCGCCCCTCTCAGCCCGAAGGCGACTCGGGGCGGTGAACAACAACAGAAAAAAAACACTGTACAATAAAACTAGACAATACAAACCAGACAATACAACATAACATATACTTATACTAAAATCCGCTTCGTCAAGTCCTCAAGTAGTTGATAACCTACTTCCATATCTACCAGCACTTGACTACCAGTCAAACTACATTTAAATAGAATCTTAACTGAAAAAAATCACTTAAAAGTTCACCAAACTATATCACATTTTTGCAAAAATCAGAAGCAACAATAGTTGAAAATAAATCCCTTATAATTGTCAATCAGAATTTATACTTACCGTTGGGAAGTCGAAATCTATTTGACTTGCTAGGTTTAATATATAATCAATTCGGAACTGGTTCTCTGGATTAGCTAGCTCAACTGGAGGTGCCAGATTTCCCATTGCTGTGACTATTGTCTGTAGAGAAATTGGAAGGGGGTATAATCAGAAAGTGATGACTTAAATGGTTAATTGAAAAGCAACCAGGGAAAGGTTGTACTTACCTCTATAGCTTCCTTAATATTGTTTTTAATATCCTGAATTTTCATTTTCTTCTCCCTGTAACCAAGAAATAAAAAATTATATTTCTAGATTGTGAACAGATAGTTTTGAAAGGGAAAATGAAGTGTGACTTTTATTATGAGAAGTAATATTTAATAAGGCATCTAGTTACCCCATTGCTTGCCAATATACAAAATAATCATAATCATAATCATAATAATATACACCAACAGTACACATGGTGTAGTAAAATAACAATGCAGACAGCTATCAAAAGCATACAATCTTATATATACATATACATACATACATCTATATATATACATATATAATACACACAGGGGACTGAAGATGTAATACAAATATAAACCTAATGAGAAATTTGGACCTGCTGATGTTTCTAAAGGCAGCCCCACACAGAGTGCATTGATGGAATCCCAGCGGGATGTAATTAAAGCATGTGTTACCATGGCCGGATCTGACAACTACAGGAATGGGCTCAGTTGGTACTCTAGTTTCAGCTATGTTAATGTATGCCTAGCTACCACCAAAGCTAATAATTAAATAATGGTGTACTTCAAGGTGGTGTAAAAATCTTCCAGCTGGCAAACTGATAGGTAGTCATCATTGTCTTCACCACAGGAGCATTCAAGTCCCTATTTCTGTCTGTGTTGCCATGGCCCTATGACATGTTCAGTAAACAAAGAGTCTTATTGCAGCAATAAACATATAATCTCAAATTGTGTTTTGAAATGTTTACTAGGTCTACGTTTTCCATGACAATTGTGCACCAGGTTTCCTAAAGACTGTGGCACGTGAGTAGTTTGACTATTAACTTTTTCAAGTACAATTTAGTAACTGCTCAAGGGCTTAAAATACAATGAAGGTATTTCTTTACAGAAGTTCTAAGCATTAGAATCATTTTAGCCTGATGATCAGCAATGTGCTTCAAGAAAATACTATGTCTAAATAGCGGTTTTTCAAAAAATGGCCAGTTTTTAAAATATATAAACATAATTTTTCCAGGTCAAATAACAGATTTCTTCATGACACCAACACAAGCATTTTTTGACATTCTCTCATTTTGCTGCTCTGTATATTTCAAGGAAGGCTTGAATGTAGATCAAAAGACAATCAGAATTTGATTCTGAGTATGTGCTTTCATGTTGCTTATCCCTGTCTTTTTAAAATAGAATTTTGTCCAATGGGCGCTTACTTTACGAATCGGTAGACAATAGGCAAGAACCAACAGCTGACATCCACTGACAGAACAGGAGACTCCATTAAAATGGAAACAAACAATTCTTCCTTCCCATAATAATGCACCATGATACCAGCACCATCATGCCAGAGTTGAGCTGCCATGCCATCATGTTTTCTACCCCAATACTGTGATTTAATTTGTGTGATGAACCCCAGGTTTTTCCACATAAGTTAGATACTGTTTGATTATTTACATTTTTAAAAAGCTCTCAATTATTGCACTCCTTTATGTAAATATGAACTGACAAGAAAGACACCAATCATTAGTAGACCTTGTCTCAACTTAAATAATACTGTTAAATGTCAATTTTAAAGTTTGAACATTTCTAAAACAGGTTTTCACAAAATGTTTACAGGGCACAAGAAGGCTTCAGTGGTTCTCCTACATATAAAACTGTTTCCTACACTAGACAGTTCCTATGCACAATGCTTCCTACGTTAAAGTAATAACATTCATGAATTATTGGTGTTAAGAGCATAGTATCGTAATAATATAATATGCATTAATCTGCAGAACTGTGAAGGAACTGAAGCGTCCAGAATTGACTTGCAGAGCATATTAGAGCTGAATGGCCACCAGCATTACCATCACATTTATGGATACTTAGGCCAATAGATTTGGGATCGCCAGGCTAAGAAGGCTGAACTACAAACCAGCAGGACACTAATTTGTGCAGAAATATGTCTTTCTGTCCCTTACCCTTTAGGACTGAATCTTAATATCCTGAGAGGGTCTCTTAAGTGTCTTAGGATTCTGATGACTCCATGGACATGGAAGAAGGTTTGTGTATGGTGAATAAGCTCCATGGTGGAGCCCAAGCTGAACATATTCCCAAATATCCAACTAGATCAAGGTCTCAATTAAGAGATTCCAAAAAAGATTCATTAGAACAAAGGTAATCTGCATGTATGGTCAAAGACAATCTAGGCATGCAGAGGATCGATATAATAGGCTGTAACGGAAGAAAGTGCTTCCATCAGTATGTAAGAATTGATACCTTGACCACAACTAAAACTTACAAGACTGATTCGCCCAGATTGTCACCCTGTTATGCACAGGCCTTTGGACAGACTTCGGAGAAAGCTTGTGAAGTCTCCCTTTATAAGCAGGACTCACCAAGAAGTCACCAAATTTCCACATCCTATCTAGCCTACAGCAACAATGGAGGTGTATTACTTGATCTTACATAGCAAAAGCTCACGTTTCTTCTTAATTGGACAATCACAAGGCCTTTTCAATAAAGGTTTGATTGCAAAGTCAACTAACTGCTGCTGTTATAATTGTTTCCATGTGTCTCCTAACGATATGATCTGGTTATGTCCAGCTGTAGCTTCTTGCATGGCAGTGATGGTAAAATTTCACTCACATTAATTTTGTATTGATACAGTCTTTGAAACCTGCACATGTGCATATGCTATCAAACTATTTAGCTGCTCTTAGGGAAAAAAATATTAGTCAGCAGCGGGTAAACTGAAACTTTATTCAAATGTTGACATCATTCAAAGCACTGAATTCCAACATTTGAATAAATTGCATATATACTGCATGTTCATAGGGCTATCTCTTTGGCTATTTGGTTGCCTTTTACTGAAGGCTACATATAGATTTATTTATATTTATTTTCCTTCTTTTAAGAACCTGTTTTTATTCAGGAAGACAAAAGAAGAGAAACACAAATGATATATTAAACCACCAAAAACTACATTTCTACATAGTGTCCACTACTACTAAAATACAACCAGGCGGTTATTAAAAATAACTTAACAGCAAGAGCGAAATAAAACATGTAGAACACACAGAATCAATGACAAAAAGAGAACAAACTTTCCACTTTGTATCTGATGGCAGTTATTCCTTGTTAGTACACTCCCTTTGAACCATTCATTTTAATTCTATTCTTTGGACCATCAGTTACTGCTTTCTCAATAGAATGCATATTCTAACAGTAGTAACTCTAAATTTTCTAGTAATAACACAGTATATGCAACATTTTAGAAAAACTTCCTGACCCTACCCCATGTAAATACCCTACATCACATTGTACTATCAAACCTCTTAGTAGCCTAGTTGTACAGTCTTTGTCTTAACATTGTTCTTCTTTCTATTAATGATTTTAATCACTAAACATTGTTAACAACCAATCTTTAAATATTCTATCTATATATTCCGCAAAAAGATTTCAGTTAACAAAGGATTTCCCCAAGCAGGAAGCAGCCAGTATTTGAAACTGCAGGGCCATTCAATGCTAATCGCTTTGAGTCGCCTAAGGGCTGAGAAAAGTGGTATATAAATGAAGTAAATAAATAAATAAATAATAACTATCAAGGTGGCCATTTGTAACATTCACACCTGCCTCAAATAGACAAGAGTTCTCTCTCCCATCCTGGACGTTCCCCAGATATATAAGCCTCACTTGCCTAGTTTCCAACAGACTTCACAACCTCTGAGGATTCCTGCCATATATGCAGGTGGAATGTCAGGAGAGAATGCTTCTGGAACATGGCAACCTAGCCTGGAAAACTCACAGCAACCTAGTGATTGCGGCCATGAAAGCCTTCAACAACCTTGTACTTATTTATCTTTAAGAAGACAACCTTGTACTTATTTATCTTTAAGAAGACAAGTCAGTCTGTCCAATTTTGCTAGGCTAAAAGATTTAGCCAACCATTCAATCACAGATGGGATAACACTTTCTTTCTAGTGTATATCATAAGACTATTCAGGCTGCTGCTGCTCTATTAAAACACACATATATATGTGACTTTAATATATATACTAGGATGTTGTGAATGCTTTGTCTTAATGTTTAAATTTTATGTCTCAAGTTTAATGGATTTAATGATTTTAGGTCAAAGTTATATATAGCAATTAGTAATTATGAATTTTTTTTGTTTTGTTTTGTTTTACTTGGCATTGAATCTTTGCCATTAATATTTTGCAAAGTGCCCTGAATCCCCTCAGGGGTGAGAAAGGTGATACATGCGCACACACATATATATAGTAAATAAATAAAAATATTTTGAAAGAAAACCTTATTTTTCTTACTGATTGTGTATATTTTTATTCTACTTTAACTGATTTTTTCTCCTTTTCCCCCTACCCTTTTTAATGTGCTTTATACATTAAAATAAATAGAGAGGAATGATAAAATGTCTGCTGGTGAATAAAAAGGCTAGAATGTGTAAACTAGGGTGAAATGCCCCCACATAAGGCAAATACACAGTTATTTCAAACATAGCAATGCTATATGAATTTTCTTGCAAACCTAATTCTCTGCTAAGACTGGACCACCTTTCTCTTTAATTTCAATTTAAAATTAACTTATGTCCTGAACATTTTTTCTCCTGTGCATATTTGCTGAAGATAATCAAGTATGTGATATGGTCAAAATCAGAAGACTTGTATAAAAACTTCCTTGAAATTGATAACTTAATCTTCCCATCTACACATCTTATATATGGAAAACTACTGAACTGTAGTAATGGATCCAGGAGCTGGCTAAATATATAATCACTAAATGTCCCCAATTCAATAATTAGTACTTCAAATCTTTTCAGCAGCCCTGCTAACATGAAGAGTGAATTTAGGAAGAAAGCCAAACAATGTTTTTCAATAGAAACTTAATAAGTCATAGTACAACCTCAAGATGCTTAAAGTAACCCCAACATATATTTGTAGGTTTTAGAATTGATAAGCAGAGAGATAAAATATAATCCATGGGTCATATTCTTCCAATGGACCTTTTTGTGACCGGTGAGCCCCACAATGCAACCCAGTGACTCTAGCCATGAAA